GAATTAACGAGTTAGAAAAAAAAATGAAATTAAAGAGTGCAAAGGGTTAAAAATTACGTATATATTCGGAGGAGGAATTTGAAAGAAAATTAACGATTTCGCGGCGTGGAAAGTTTTTCAGGAATAAAGATCGTCTTCTCGATACTCGTTAACTTATTTATCGAGTTGGGATTACTAACTGGGTCGAGGCAATTAATAAAACGCAATAAGCTGTGCCTTTACCCTGACCGGTTAACGTGAAAGAAAGAAAAATCCGTGGCGGTCATTAATAACGGGGGAAAATAGCTCGTGGACCTCCCTGCCTCGATAATTACCTTGTAATCGTTTATCGAATTACACACGCGATTTATGATCCGGATCCCCGTGGATTTTTGGACGGTGCATCGATCAAGGGAAGAAATTACCTTCGAGATATAATCGGCTCGTAAAAATCGATCGGATGTTAAAGTTTAAATGCCGTCTGACCAAGCGAATTGATAGTGAACTTATGAGAAAACTAGGGAAACTTTGAACGTCGAAGTTGAAATAAAGAACTAAAGATGGTATTATTTTTGAAAAAGATATATCGGGTTTTCGATTTTCAAATATATAGATCTTTCTTTCTTCACAACTTTCGTTATATTATTTTTCTAATTCAGAATCTCTCTCACGTTTCTCGTTAACACTATTGAAAATGTAATAGCTCATTCTCCATTCATTCTTCTTTTTATTATTTTTAATCGATTATATTTAATAGGAAAAATATAGTGTATTATAGCAATTGTTGATATTTATTTTAAAATTGCCATCTATTTTGCCTTGAAAATCTTTTTACTATTTTTTATTCATTATTTTGATAATTTTGAAATTTGAGAAACGCGCAATCTGGTTTATTTTTTATTAAATAATTTCTAATTTTATAAAACTTTGTAATTTTCATTTTTACCCGTTTGAAGAAACTTTCACAAATTTTTCTTTCTTCCTTATAACGCTCGTCATTAGAATTTTATTCCGTCTTAAAAATCTTTTTACTATTTTTTATTCATGATTTTGGTAATTTTGAAATTTGAGAAATCTGGTTTATTTTTCATTAAATTTTGAAGAAACTTTCACAAACTTTTCTTTCTTCTTCATAACCCTCATCGTTCGAATCATTAAAATTTTATTGCCATTTATTCCGTCTTAAAAATCTTTTTATTATTTTTTATTCATGATTTTGATAATTTTGAAATTTGAGAAATCTGGTTTATTTGTAATTAAATTATGAAGAATCTTTCACAAACTTTTCTTTCTTCTTCATAACCCTCATCGTGCGAATCATTAAAATTTTATTACCATTTATTCCGTCTTAAAAATCTTTTTATTATTTTTTATTCATGATTTTGATAATTTTGAAATTTGAGAAATCTGGTTTATTTGTAATTAAATTATGAAGAATCTTTCACAAACTTTTCTTTCTTCTTCATAACCCTCATCGTGCGAATCATTAAAATTTTATTACCATTTATTCCGTCTTAAAAATCTTTTTATTATTTTTTATTCATGATTTTGATAATTTTGAAATTTGAGAAATCTGGTTTATTTTTCATTAAATTTTGAAGAAACTTTCACAAACTTTTCTTTCTTCTTCATAACCCTCATCGTTCGAATCATTAAAATTTTATTACCATTTATTCCGTCTTAAAAATCTTTTTACTATTTTTTTATTCATGATTTTGATAATTTTGAAATTTGAGAAATCTGGTTTATTTTTCATTAAATTCTGAAGAAACTTTCACAAACTTTTCTTTCTTCTTCATAACCCTCATCGTTCGAATCATTAAAATTTTATTACCATTTATTCCGTCTTAAAAATCTTTTTACTATTTTTTTATTCATGATTTTGATAATTTTGAAATTTGAGAAATCTGGTTTATTTTTCATTAAATTCTAAAGAAACTTTCACAAACTTTTCTTTCTTCTCTCATAACCCTCGTTAATAGAATTCTATTGCATATAGAATTCTATTTATTCCATCTTAAAAATCTTCTTACTATTTTTTATTCATGATTTTGATAATTTTGAAATTTGAGAAATCTGGTTTATTTTTCATTAAATTCTGAAGAAACTTTTACAAACTTTTCTCTCTTCTCTCATAACCCTCGTTGTTCGAATTGCTGCTTTTAGAATTATCTTTTTTCGCTTGAAATATCTTTCTTTTTTTTTTTTTTTTCAGAGACATTTTTTTCTTAATATCAGAATTTTTCCTCAGACATTCCATTTTCGTTGCCCGAAAATCCCTTTTTGGATGTTTCTTTTCAGTAGTATCTTTTCCTCGCGCCGCAACCCCTTTCTTTCTCCACGCGTTCCTCTTTTTTATTGTTGGAATTCCTCTTTCCTCCCCCCACGAAAAGGGGTTTTTCTCGTTGCTGTAATTTCGTTTACAATCCTACCTACCACCAGTAATCCTCCATAGTAGGATTACAAATGTAGAAGCTTTTCTAAGTCTCTATTTCATCACAGTGGACCATAGCCCGGAATGGTATTACCCAAGGGAAATCCAGAATAGATTATTTCCTATTATCCGGGAGGGGGGAAGGGTATTTTGTTCAGGGAAGTAGCCGAGATCGGAAGGGAAGAACATGCATTCGCATATGGATGGTCTGTTGCACCTGAAACGATGATTTTTGGAAAAATTAAGAACAAATTAAGGCGAGGGATTAATTTAAACGGTATGAATCTTAGATCCAGCATAAAGATTTATATTAAAAATTTATAATGCACATTTATAAATTAATAAGATCTCTTATTTCTTCTAATTCATCGTAAAAATATTAATTTGCATAAGCATCCACAGTTTATTAATTAATTAAATTAAAATATTTGACAGAATTTAAGAATTAGATTAATTTTTACTTCGAGAAAGTCTTTTGGACGAAAGTTTTTAAGTTTGTAATATAATTTCTAATTTTTCTTATCTAGGGACAAAACTGAGGAAAGGATCCTTAACCTTTAGTTGATTATTCGATTATAAAATTCAAATTTTAATCAATATATTTCTATAATAAGATTTTTGAATTTGCACTGCAGATAGGTGTGAAGCACAACTTGCTGCGTTCCTTCATTTCTGAAATCACACGAATGATTGGATCAGGACAAACATTGTCTATTAGGGGGGATTATGGAATGGTCGAACAAAACTTAAGCTTGGTTTAGCATTCGGTCTACCGCTGGATCGTCGCCCTGATAATGTTAGGCTAGATTTAAATTGACCTCTTTCCTGTACAGCAACATTAGAGAAAATTAAAGATTACGTGGAGTGTGCTGTACGACAAAAATAAGAGAGAATAAGTTTTATAAATAATTGTCTTCCAAAAAAAAAAAATTCTACCTTTGATCATCTCACTGTCAATGATTTATTAATTATTCTCTGTGAGAAGACAATGGATTGGACAGTTTTCATGAAATTTTTCGAAACACTGCCTCTTCGATTAATATTTTTCTGTTAATATTTCTAGCATCACTTCAACAGATATTTTATTTTTTCGACTGTTTATCAGATGATTTTCGATAATATAGCATGATAAATATTCGAAAGAATTAGATTAGGTCAAAAATAATTCGATCTTGAATATTTTACAAGTGTTATTTCATATATACAAACGTATCAAATGTTTCAAAGATATTT